CGCGCACGCGCACGCGCGGCGTGGCGTCCCCTCTGCGGCCCCGCCCCTGCACGTGGGGCTTCTTGGGGGCTCGCTAAGTCCCTCCTTTGCCTCGGCTGAGCGGAAGGCGATTTGGAGGCGTCGCCTCTCAAGGCCTCATTAGAACTCGAGCCTCAGAACCTGTCCGTTTGGGGAAGTGCAGCGAGGACGCCCGGGGTGGGCAGCAGCCCCGCGGGAGCGCGGGGGGCGTGGGGGTTCTCTCCACCGTCGAGGCGCGACGAGGGGCCGCAGCCCAGAGCCACTCTGTTCCAAGGCGTTAAAAGGCTTCTTGGCATAAAATAAATTCCTTCAAGAGCAAGACAACAAATAAACAGAAAGGCTTCTTGAACTCGCAGTGACTTTGTTTCTTGGAATCTTTCACGTCTTCCTGGGCTAGACTAACAGAGCCGGTTAGAAAAAAGCCAGTCCGCTGCCCTGCGCCACCCGGGAGGCAGGATCTTGCTCTGCACCTTTCCAGCCAGAGTAAGAGGAATCCTTCACTCCATCTTTCCAGAAGCCCCACCCCCACCCCTCCCTTACCATCACATCGCCCTGTTTTCTTTCCTTTACCGATCTCATCACTATGTAAAGCCTGTAAGTGTTTGTTGACTGACTCTCCAACTAGTTGCAAGCCCTGCCCTCCCACTACAGACTGTTAAATATATTGCATGGCTGTATTCCCTTCATTTGAGTGGACGGCGATCTAATGGTATAGCCACCCTGAGTGTTGGGCCGCACTCTTCTGTTCCCATTCTTTGGATTATAGCCCATCTCACCGCACAAGCCAATCTTGTTTTATCGATGTCCTCTTGTGGCCAGGCGTTCTGGTTGGGTGATGGGATTCAGCAGTGCACAAGGAACAAAGGGCTTCTGCCTTTTACAGAGTGTCAGTCAAGTTCCGGGGACCCCTGTGCCAGCATGCCAGCCCATAGCCGACACTGGCCAGTTAACTCACACAAGACAGCCCACGCAAGGCCTGGCTGCGTGAGAGCAGAAACCATGGCTCTTGTTAACTCTGCTTCATGAAAAGTTCAAGCCATTCTGGGCTCCTGCCCTAGATAAATACTTTAATATTTTAGCTAAAGGCTTAAGGCCCAAAAAAGAAGAGGGATAGACTAATGAATCTGAGGTATATTCTCCAGGAAGCATTTCCTGATGCCCAGAAGTGCACGCTTTTTTTTTTCAATCCTCACCCAAGGATATTTTTTCCATTGTTTTTCAGAGAGAGTAGAAGGGAGAGAGAAACATCAATGTGAGAGAGACACATCGACTGGTTGTCCCCCACACTCGGGGATCGAGCCTGCAACTGATATACCTGCCCTTGGCTGGAATCAAACCCAGGACCCTTCAGTCCTCAGGCCGATGCTCTAACCACGGAGCAAAACCGGCTAGGACCACAGATTTTTTTTGATGAGCCATTTGACTCATGCTATTTCCAGACATATAAATTTGGGAGAAACCTAGTTGTCTTGTAGGAAAAGGTGAATGAAATGAAGTGATATTTAATGTGTTGATTACATTCTGTTTACACGCAGTAAGTTGTGAACAAGCTGTACAGATTTCTGCCTGCTTCCTCACCTGTCACCATTTTTGGCCTCCACTTTAAAATGCTAAGTCCTAAAGCTTCTTTCATTGTCAATGTTGACTTGTACTTTATAGGCTCTCATAACCACCAGTGCACTATTTTAAGAGCATTGAGTGTGTTTTTGGTTTTTCTTTTTTCATAAAATGTCAGTTATTCCTTGTGAGATTCTAGACTTCTCAGAACAGAATTATACATTTCTCCTGGGCCATTTTTCTCATGATATTTATTTATTTATTTAAAAAATATTTTTATTGATTTCAAAGAGAGGAAGGGAGAGGAAGTGAGAAAGAAATATCAATGATGAGAGAGTCACTGATCCACTGCCTCCTGCTGGGGATCGAGCCCACAACCTGGGCATGTGCCCTGACAGGGAATCGAACCTCAATCTCCTGAATCATAGCTCAGTGCTCAACTGCTGAGCCACACTGGCTGGGCTCTCATGATATTTAGATGCAGCTATTTTTATCCTTTGCAAACCTTCTGCCTTCTCGTTTTTCTGTCTCTCAAGGACAGTAATTACNATATTTAGATGCAGCTGTTTTTATCCTTTGCAAACCTTCTGCCTTCTCGTTTTTCTGTCTCTCAAGGACAGTAATTACAAGAGGTGGGAAGGACATTTTTAGCATCTGTTTCAGAAGATCTAAGCCAGGAATTCCTTTGCACACCAAGAACTGGGGCTTGGAGCACGTCTTTTCTCCACACCAGCTCTCGTGCCTTACACTCCAGTGTCCCATGATGGGTGGAGAGAGGAAGGGTGAAAAAGTAACTCCATTTCAGGCTGAGGGTTCCCATCACCTGCTCACCTCTCCTTCCCCAGAACAGATGGTGTGGGGTAGAAGGCTGCCACAGCCCGTCTCAGTGAGGGGTTTTCTAACAGCACAGTTCACACTTTACTCTCTGGTGAACTCTCAGGATGTGTCAAAGCATCACTGTAATTATTGTAAAGTGCTATATTCATTATTCACATCTGTAAATGTGCAGTTCTGTTCAGCCCCTTTCTGTCCCTGTGCAGCATTAGCATGTGGTCTTGAAGACATTCCAGGCACTTAGGTAAATGGGATACTCTCTCAAGAGCCCTGGTGACGTTAGGCCCACAAGGTGACCGAGCATTTCTGCCTCCCACGAAGACGGTATTAACATTGTACACTGTGTTTCTATCAAGCCAGCTTTCAATTAAGATTTTCTTTTCATGTTACTAGGTTTGTGAATGAATAAATAGACATTTTAATTACTCTTGTCATGTCTGCTTGAGAAATATTCTTCATCTGTAGTAAGTCAGCATATGTATTTGTCATCACAAAAGATAAACATCATACATAGCTGTTGATTTATGTCTTACCAAGTGTAAAACAGAATTTGGAAACCGAGGTAAAGTAGATACAGGCATTATGTTACCCTTCATGCAGTGGTGGCCTGGTTGGACAGAGAAAGTCTCCGTTCCTCCTTCTGAAGTTACTGTCACTGGGTTTGACATCCTGCCTTACAACTGACTTCATACTATAAACCTGGCACTTGATGTATCACTTGTGTACCTGTGAGCCCATGTTTATGTGGGAAACAGGGTGGGTGTGTATTCTTAGTCACACCTGTGGGGAGATTTCAGAACATTATCTATGAGAAACAGCCAGCGGCAGCCAGTGCTCTCACTACACCAACTTCCATCCACAAATTGTGGTGTATTTATGCAGTAAAACACCTCCTAGGGACTCAGTACTGTGCTGGGCGCTGTAGAACTGTTTCCCAGAGTCCAAGTAAGACAGAGTAATACTGCAACTAACTACTGTGCCAGGCACTGCGCCAAGTGCTCTAACTGCATAACCTCATTGAAACTTCACCAAAGTCATAGAGATGAGAGTACCCCTGATTCACCCACAAGGAAAAGGAGGCTTAGAGAAGTACATTCTTGAGTTGCAGATAATAAAAACCAGGACTCACATCTAAGTCTTTAACACATGAAATAGTGAACTATTCAAGTAAGTGCTAAGTAATGAAGTAGAGACTTTAATGCATTAGAATCACCTGAGGAAATTTAAACCAAGAATCTCAGAGTGAAGTGAAATAAAAAAGGCTGAAGCACAGATCAGTACTTCTAAAGACCTTTCCAGGAGCTTCTCTTGTATATAGAAACGACTGGATGCCAACTATTTAGAAGAAGAAATGGTGGTCACTTAAAGTTATGTGGATAAGAGAGAACTTAAGCTGGTTCTTAATGTGTGCTTTACACAGGGCAAGGGTTTCTCTTATACAGCATCCCATTTAATCTTTATGACAATCTTAAGAGGTAAGTTTTTAGTGGATGACATAGACTCAGATGTAACATGACTTTTTCAAGATCACACAGCTAATGGGAAGATCTGAATATGGAGCCAAGGTTGTATATCTGAATCCAATGATCTTTGCAGGTTACCATAGAACAGGTGGCCAGGAGGGCATTTGAGGCTGAGATAATCCAATGACTGGAAACAGAGACAGAAAAGAGCAAACAATGTAATAACTCAACTAGTTGTGATACATTGGATATTGTTTTCAATTCCTCATTCCACCTACCACATGCATGCAGAGCTGTAGTATATTTTTGTCCCACTGACATCAGTTGGCTTCTGCCATATGACTTAAAAAAAATTTTTTTTAATTGATTTGAGAGAGAGAGGAAGAGAGAGAGAGAGAAACA